ACGAAGATTTCGGTCACATGATGCAGGATTGCATAGCCCTAAGAAAGGAGATCTGTTATCTCCTTAGCAAAGGGTATCTTAAATAAATCCTCGGAAGAAAGAAAGAAAAGTCCAAGGAGAACAATTAGGATGGTCACAAGATCCTGGAGAAACCAGGATCTCCACCCCCAAAACACCAAGATAATTCACGTTATCTCATGCGGATCTAACATTTGTGGTACTTCTTATTCTCAGGCTAAAAGACATGCCAAGGTCTCTAAAATAGAAAAGGAGGATAGACCACGGAAGAATACCCCGGTTAGCAATGAAAAGGAAATCACGTTTGACGAGACGGATAGGGAAGGGATCCAAGATCCTCACCAAGATGGAGTCGTGATAACACTGTACATTGCCAACCACTTCGTCGGAAGAATCCTGGATAATGGAGGATCCTCGGTCAACATCATACTCTTGGACGCACTGAAGAGGATGAACATCACGGAATCGGAGATAATCTAAAGATCCGCGGTCCTCATAGGATTTAGCGTAGAAACGATACATACTATTGGGGAGATAAAGCTACCAATATACATAGAGGTGGTAAACTCTATACAAATTTTTTGTGTTATTGACACGTTATCTTCTTATAAATGTGATATTAGGTAGACCGTGGATCCGTGAGATGAAAGCAGTTCCATCAACATATCATCAGTTTGTAAAGATGCCTACTCTATGGGAAACAGTGAAGATCATGGGAGATCAACAAGAGTCAAAGGAATGTTATAAAACATCTATGAAACCTGCGACGAAACTCCATCAAGCATAGCAATTAAGGCAGGGGGCATGACATGTTATAGAAACAAGGGAGAAAGACGTGAAGGAAGTGCCCCTGAGCAACGAGGATCTTGAAGCCAAAGTACTCAAAGGATTGATATGTGCATATTTATACACATATTTATACAACATACATTAATATTTAATTACTTTTATGCCCTTAATAGAACAAAAGATACTTAATTTGCCATGAATTGTGTTGTAGGGACTAAAAGACTTGTTTGGAGCAAAAAGGAAGTTGGAAGCTGGATTAAGGAAGCTAGAAGATGGAAGATTGAACCAAAGTAGTAAAATGAAGAAAAATACACCCAACATGTCGTGGTGATCCTACCACGACGTGGCATCTTGAAGATTCCCGATCAGATTCGATGACTTGGAGATTACGTGGCATCTTGAAGAAAAACACAATCACCACGACGTGGTGGACCCACCACGACGTGGTGCCCTGCTTTCGGAAAAAGTATAGATATCTCACATAAACCTCCAAATGGGAACTTTTGGCTCTGGAGAATTCCAAGCTTTTTGAGGCAAAGGCACTGGAATTAAGCATTGGAAGCAAGGAATTCAATCACAATCATTAGAAGGAGGAGATCAAAGGCAACTAAACTCTACTTTTTGATTTTTCATTAGGAATAGTTATGCCTTTACTTTTGAATCTCGATTTTATTACTTTGTTTGCTGAAATCATGAGCTAAACACTCATGACTTTCGTTTAGCTAGGATGAGTTGACTAAACATGGTTGATTTCGTAGTTAGGATTTAGTTATTTGGTTATTTGTTGACTTTTGCTTATTAAAGAACCTCAAGTACTTTTGATAACTGCTTTTTATCTGCTTATTGCTGAATTTGATTAGGTTAGAATGACTATTTTTCTTAATTGAATTTGAATCTTATGATCTTGTGATTTGCAAAATCGTAGGACTAGAGTTTTGATTAAAACCTAGGGTTAAGTAGAAAAGTGGGTAAAAAAGTATATGAGCCAATATATGACGATAAATCATATATAAAATTGAATCAACAAATTTAATTGATCAATTAATTATAAGTCTAAGCAACTCGAACTGAACACTAGTGAACTTGTAAGTTTGTCCGCTTGATCACCGAATAAATAAGCTAGTTTGCTAAAGGATTAAATTGGTGAATACCAATTTGGTCATCTTAGGAATCGGTAGCCAAAGAAACTAAATCCATTGCACTTCTATGAAACAACCATAATAACAACAAATCCGAAGCTGAACGAAAGTCTCTTTCTTACCTTGGTAATTCATACTTCTTACTTGCTTAGTTTTAGTTCTAGTTTTATTAAGTGAATTTTTGAGTTAGTTTAGTAAATCAAGTATGTAGTATTGCAAAACTAGGAAAATAATCCCTCTTTTAATTTAATTATTAATTAGTCAATAGTAAAATAAAGCAATCTAAACACTGTTCCTTGTGTTCGACACTCATTCTTACCATTGCTATACTATTGCACGATTAGGTACACTGCCTAGTGTGTTTAATAGTCTAATAAAGTAAATTACTTTTATAAATTAACTTGAATAAAATATAAGCATATTAAATTACACATCAAGTTTTTGGCGCCGTTGCCGGGGAACGGTTCAGTTTTAATTACTTTATATTGCTATTTTTAGGACTATTTTCTGTTGGAGTTTAGTTTTTAATTTTCATTTTAGTATCTTCGTATTTTAGGTTCACCACGTCGTGGTATAGCTACTGTAGGAATTTTATTTTTTGTTTTTTTTCTTTACGTGTTTTCTTTGTTTATTTGCAGATCGTTTATGACCAGAGGAGGAAATACACCTTTGATCCCACCACTTGAAGACCCGGAAGCTACTTTAAGGAAGAACAAAGGCAAAACCGTTGGAGAAACCGCAACTTCGAAGAACTCTCCTTTGAAGAATCTCAAATCTGTGTTTACCAAGAAAAAGAGCAATAAATCAGGAGGATCCAACATCTCTTTGGCGGACGAAGACCCGAAGAAGGAGGACACCGAATACGAAACAGAAGGAGACGAAAAAGATCTTACATTTGATAACGAAAGTGACCTAGAAGACGAACCCGACAACACCATGGCTAACATCAACGAAGTTCGCATGGGAGAGTGGAAGAAGAAGATGGATGAAGACACCGGCCCAGGACTCGTGCAACCCGCGATTCCGGCAAATGCCAACTTCGAGCTAAAGGGCCACATACTCACACAACTTAAGGAACTCCCATTCTACGGTAAGGATCACGAAGACGCGTACAAACATCTAGAAGAGGTCAACGACATAGTCGACTACTTCAATGTTCCAAATGTGTCTCGCGAAACTGTATTGCTTCGTATGTTACCCGTTACATTCAAGGGGGACGCAAGAGATTGGCTAAAATCACTTCCTCCCGGATCCATTACAACTTGGGCCAAGATGAAAGAAGAACTCATTGATCAATTTTGCCCACCCTCAAAGATAACGAAGTTGAAGAAAGCCATAGCCAACTTTGAGCAACAACCTGGAGAGTCACTTTATGAGGCATGGGAAAGATACAAGAGTTTGTTGAGAAACTGCCCACATCATGATCTGAACAGTCAACAAGAAGTCTCCATTTTCTATGATGGAGTAAATGTGACAACTAGGCAGCTCCTTGATTCTCAAGGACCACTCACAAAGAAGGCACCCCCTGTGATAAAAAGGATAATTGAAGAATTCTCTAAACACTCTAGAGAATACCATAATCCAAGGAATGAATTAACAAAGGGATCGGTTAATGCTGCTTCGGAGGATATGGCGGCAGTTTTGGCAATGTTGCACAACATGGATAGGCGAATGACTAAGATGGATCAAACAATCCATGCTATTCGGGTTGGGTGTGAAAATTGTAACGGGCCTCATTTGACTAGAGACTGTGACCTTGATGAAAATGGAAACCGGAAGGTTCAAGCTTTCTACTCGAGCGGTGATCATTTTGATGACAATTAGAGAAAACCCAAGAAAAATTGGATACCTTATGAAGAATACAAAAAGGCTAAGGAAGATAAATATGAACAAAAAGGAAGAGGGTTTTACCAAAAAGAGGAACCACAAGATGAAAAGAAATCTGACTTGGAAAATATGATTACCCGATTTATATCCGCTTCTGAAAAAAGGCACGAAGGAGCTGAAACAGCGATAAAAGAACAACAAGTATTCATGAGGGAACAACAAGAGACAATGAGAAATACACAAGCACTGGTTAGAAATCAACAAGCTTCAATCCTCACTATAGAGAAGCAACTCGGGCAACTAGCAAGCCAATTAAATGAAAGATCACCGGGAGGACTTCTGGGAAATACCGAACAAAACCCGAGAGGAGCTGACATTCAAGCCATCACCACTAGAAGTGGGAAAATTATCACTCACTTAACCCCTATTGACATAAACAAACCAGAAGCGGAACAGGAAGGACAAGAAGAAAATAAAGAAAATGAGTCTGGGCAATCACCACGACGTGGTGAATCTACCACAGCGTGGCAAGACACTGAGAAGAAAAATACCAAACCGGTGAAGCCATATCCTCCACCACTTCCCTTCCCAAGCAGAGCAATTCAAGAGAAGCATGCTGAAGATTACCAGAGGTTCTTAGATTACATAAAATCTCTTGAAATCAACATTCCATTCCTTGAGGCTTTAGCTGAAATGCCGAAATATGCCAAATTTCTCAAGGACTTGTTAACAAACCGCAAGAAGATGAAGGGGCTATCTAAGGTAGTGTTGAATGAAAATTGTTCTGCTGCTATGTTAAACATGCTACCAAAGAAGATGAGGGATCCAGGAAGTATAACCTTGCCATGCCAATTTGGAAATCTTCCAACTAGTCATGCTCTAGCTGACTCGGGAGCAAGTGTTAACTTAATGCCCTATTCGTTTTTCAAGAAGCTCGACCTTCACGAACCAAGACCGGTCCACATGGTTATTCATTTGGCCAATAAAAATATGACATTTCCAAGGGGTATTTGTGAGGACTTGCTAGTGAAAGTTGACAAGTTCGTTTTCCCCGTGGATTTTATTGTTTTGGATATGGAGGAAGATGAACAAGTCCCGATCATTCTTCGAAGTCCATTCTTGAGCACCGCCCGAGCATTAGTTGATATAAGGGAATCCAAGCTTACATTACGTGTTGGAGAAGAAGCGGTGACTTTTGATGTTAATCGGGCGATCAAACATTCAAGGATGAGTGATGATACGACGTTTTCAGTTGATGTGTTGGATGAAGTACTGGAAAAAGAGCTAGCGGGTTGGAAAGAACAAAATGAGGGATTTATGGTGCTTGATGAAGGAAATTTTGATCCCAAAATCGATCTACAAGAATTAGAGAAGTTATTGGAAGAAGGCGAGTATAATGAAGCAATAAAAGAGACAGAAGAGGCAACACGACGTGGTGAGGATGCCACGACGTGGCAAAGTTTTTTTCACGATCTGGAATTAAAAACCACGACACCACGACGTGGCAGGATCACCACGTCGTGGTGGCTGACGCAAAACCAAAACTCGAGCTGAAAGCCCTTCCCGAACACCTGGAGTATGGATTCTTACAAGAAGAACAACAAAAGCCAGTAATCATTGCTTCTGACCTAGAAAAACACGAGAAAGAAAGCCTAGTTAAAGTTCTAAAGAAGAGACAAGGTGCCATTGCATGGAAGATCACTGATATCAAGGGGATTAGTCCAGCCCATTGTTCTCATAAGATCAATTTTGAAGAAGGAGCTAAACCCATAGTACAACGCCAAAGAAGACTCAACCCAAACATGCAAGAAGTAGTTAAAAAAGAGGTGGTGAAACTATTAGATGCTGGTATCATTTACTCAATATCTTATATCACATGGGTGAGTCCAGTACATGTTGTGCCAAAGAAAGGAGGAATGACAATGGTCACCAATGAAGCTAACGAGTTGATCCCAACAAGGACAGTTACCGGGTGGCGCGTTTGTATTGACTATCGAAAGCTTAATGATGCAACATGCAAGGATCATTTTCCGCTACCATTCATCGATTAAATGCTCGAGAGGTTGTCCGGTCATCTTTATTATTGTTTCCTTGATGGTTTCTCGGGGTACTTTCAAATTCCAATGCACCAGCCACTTTCCAAAGGTGCATGCCTAAGTGGAACATTTGCATATAGACACATGCCTTTTGGGTTATGCAATGCACCAGCCACTTTCCAAAGGTGCATGATGGCTATCTTTCATGATATGATCGAGAAGTTTATGGAGGTTTTCATGGATGACTTCTCGGTTTTCGGGTCCTCTTTTGAAGATTGTTTGTCCAATTTGGATCTAATGCTAGCAAGATGTGAGAAGACCAACCTTGTTCTCAATTGGGAGAAGTGTCATTTTATGGTGAAGGAAGGAATTGTGTTAGGTCACAAGGTCTCAAGGATGGGGATAGAGGTGGATAGAGCGAAGGTTGATACTATAGCCAAATTACCACCTCCAACAAATGTCAAGGGGGTAAGAAGCTTTCTAGGCCATGCAGGATTTTATAGGCGCTTTATTAAAGACTTTTCGAAGATCACAAGGCCCTTGACTCAACTTCTTTTGAAGGATGCCCCATTCAAATTTTCTAAAGAATGTATTGATGCATTTCATTTGTTGAAGGAAAAGTTGACTACTACACCTATTATGATAGCTCCAGATTGGAGTCTTCCTTTTGAGCTCATGTGTGATGCTAGTGACTTTGCGGTGGGAGCTGTTTTGGGACAAAGAATTGACAAGCATTTTTAGCCTATCTACTATGCAAGTAAGACCTTGAACCCAACACAAGAGAACTACACTACTACAGAAAAGGAGCTACTAGCAGTGGTTTTTGCATTTGATAAATTTCGCTCATATTTGGTTTTGTTAAAAACCATAGTTTTTACCGACCATTATGCCCTTAAGTATCTTTTTGTTAAACAAGATGCTAAGCCAAGGTTGATTCTTTGGGTGTTGCTGCTACAAGAATTTGACATTGAAATACGAGATAAAAAGGGGATGGAGAACGTGGCTGCCGATCATCTATCGAGATTCCAAAACCCACACTTGGAGGAGTTAGAAGAAAACAAGATTGGAGATGAATTTCCCGAAGAATATTTATTGGTTATAGCAGGAGAGATTCCATGGTTTGCAGATATAGCTAACTATTTAGCAAGTGAATACATTCGAAACGACTTGACCCACCAACAAAAGAAGAAATTCTTTTCAGAAATTAAGTATTACTTTTGGGATGAGTCATACCTCTTTCGTAGCTGTGCTGATGGTATGATAAGAAGATGTGTATTCGGGAAGGAAAGTCGTGAAATCTTGAAGCATTGTCATAGCGGGCCCACCGGAGGACATCATGGAGCGCAATATACGGCAAAGAAGGTTTTTGATTCGGGTTTTTATTGGCCTACTATTTTTAAAGATGCTACAAAATTTGTCAAAGAATGCGATTCATGCCAAAGGTCGGGAAACATTTCATCACGAAATGAGATGCCCCAAAATAGCATTCAAGTTTGTGAAATATTTGATATTTGGGGAATTGACTTCATGGGACCTTTCCCAATGTCAAAGGGAAATAAATACATATTGGTAGCAGTCGATTATGTATCCAAATGGGCGGAGGCACAAGCATTACCCACAAATGATGCTCGAGTAGTGGTACGTTTCCTCAAAAAGTTATTTTCAAGATTTGGAGTTCCAAAGGCTCTAATTAGTGATCGAGGCACCCACTTCGCAAATGATCAGTTAGCTAAGGTGTTGCAAAAATATGGTGTCCACCATAGATTTTCAACATCCTATCATCCTCAAACAAGTGGGCAAACTGAAGTTACAAATCGGGCATTGAAGAGAATATTAGAAAGATCGGTTGGAAGTAATAGAAAGAGTGGTCGGATAAGCTTGATGATGCACTATGGGCGTTTAGAACAGCTTTCAAAACACCTATTGGTACTACACCATATAGGTTGGTTTATGGGAAGAGTTGCCACTTGCCAGTTGAGATAGAGCATAAAGCATTTTGGGCTTTGAAGATATGTAATTTTGAGCTAGATGAACTGCGTGCCAACCGGTTGATGCAAATGAATGCCCTTGAAGAACTTAGAAACGAAACCTACACAAGTTCTTTGATTTATAAAGACAAAACTAAGAAGTGGCATGATATGAGGCTTGAGGGTAATAAAGAGTTCCATGAAGGACAAGAAGTGTTACTTTTCAATTCAAGGTTGAAACTTTTTCCGGGTAAATTGCAAACAAGGTGGGACGAGCCATTTGTTGTCAAACAAGTTTTCCCACATGGAGCTATCGAGCTTATTTTAAGAGACGGGACCCCTTTCAAGGTTAATGGGCATCGAGTGAAGAATTACGAGGAATAAATGCCAAGTGAAGAAAGGGAGGGTGAAATCGTCAAATTCACACGAGCTGAAACAACGTAACGTGGGAAGGAGTCCGGCACATGACTCCTCAAAAAGAAGCGCTTGCAGGAGGCAACCTGTGGTTTTGAGTTTGCATTTTCTTTCCTTTTCTTTTATTTTCTTTAATTGGTTTTTGTGTTATTTAGGTTTTTAGTCTCTCATTCTTCTGATTTGTTATGGAGTTTTGATGTGGGGTATGGCATAAAATGAGTGTGGTGTGATTATTTTTAAGAAATTGATAATTAATTTTGATTTTTAACCAACCACGACGTGGTTATTCTACCATGTCGTGGCAACGGATATTACTGTAGTCAATTTAGGGTTTTTTTTAACTTAAGTCAAAACAATTTCACCTTTTTACACCACCCCATCTCTCTCGTCGTGCCAGCCTCCACGAAGAACTCCTCTTTCTCTTCATCGGTTTCTTGTTGTTCTTCCCTACAAGGTATGCCTTTTCTAGTGATTTTAGTAATCTTAATCGTCTATTAAGGTAGTATAGAGCATCTATTTGAACCTAGGGCCGATAATTTTGAACCTAGGGTTCCGATTTTTGCAAACATCGGACCAATTTTTGCATGTTTTAGTCCCTGATTTTGCTACCATTCTACTCCATTTCATCCACTGAACAAACCCTGAACTTGGATTTACTCAATATGGTGTTGAAATTAGATCGATTTGAGCAGTTCACGTCACAATGCTGACGCCACAACGAGCTCGTCGTGGTCCTCGTCGTGGTGACTGCTATGACAGTTTTGTTCTTCTGTTTCGATTGCAATAATGCACATGGGTTGTTTGGTTGTTCTTTTGTGGTTATTTTGCAGGAATGACTAGCAGGTCCAGAAGAAGTCAACCCGTTACTTGCGATTTTCCATGGTATTCTTTTCCACGGAATGTTCCACCTGAGACACATGCGTGTTGGACTGTTAAGCTTGACTTACTCAAGAAAAGAAAGGTGCATGTTCCAGCTGAGGTTGATTGGCACTGGATTGGAAATTCGGGTTTGATGGAGGCTATAGAGCCTTACCTTGACAAGGTATTTAATGGAGTTCATGGACAATTTATGTGTTTGGGTTGGAGACGCATTTTTGAGATTCAAGAGGTGGTTTACAAGGAGTTGGTGTATGAGTTTCTTGCCACAGTATCTTTCGCAAAAAAAGACAGGATATATGCGGATGATAATCTTACTTTTTGCCTTGGAGGGGAAAGGCGTTCCTTAAGCATAGCCGATTTTGCACTACAGGTTGGCATCTACCTTCCAGCTGAAGTCCATACACCATTGTACCAATAATTTATAGCAGCCTCCATTAGGAACATCGAAGGGTTCAAAGCAGAGGACCATTGGCATTCTATTGCTAATGGGGTTTACCACAAGGGTACGGCACAGGAAAGCGACATCCGGTCGCCAATTCACCGCCTCTTACACCGCCTGATCCCTAACACCATAAATGAACGTTAGGAGGGGGATAAATGTCCCACTGTGGATGTTTTCTTCTTGTGGGATCCAAGGGCATGCGTGGGTCCCCGCTTTATGGCGGTATGTGGATTACCCGACTCGCGCGATCTTTTGGTATTTTTGAGAAGCGGGAGGCTTCTATGCTTACAGTGGAGCCCCAAAAGCCCTTTTCCACTCTTCTTTATAAGAGGGCTCGAATTGTTGTTGATCATGGAATGGCTTGTTTTAGCATTCCTAACGATACTCCACGGCACCGGGTTCCAAGCCGTGGAAGGCAACGGGGTAATGAAGCCGGAGAAGATGACCCAGTGGTGCCGGAAGAAGATGAGATGCCCATGGATCCCTACAGTGTGGCAAGGAGACGATATGAGGACTACATGTCTAGAGCTACAAACTACACCAACATGAGCCTAGATCATTTGATGAGCTCTATGTGTGTATCTCGTCCTGAGCATTTTCCTTCTGCGTACCCAAATGTTCCAACGTGTGACGACATTTGGCGAGAGCAGTTGGGTGGAGCTGGAGGCAGTGGTGGTGGATCTGGTGATGATGAAGAAGATTGAGTTTTTATCCTTTTCTTTGGTTTTTTGTCTTCTTTTAGACTAGTCCTTTATTATGGTTTTCTTTGGTTTGTTTTATGTTTTCTGGATGATTTGGTTGTTTGGATGGTTTTCCTACTTTTATTACCATTTCCTTTATCCTAGTTCCAGGTTATATTTAAGAGTCAAGTAAGGGTATATTTGGCACAAGAAAGTTCGTTAGAGTGAAGGTATCAGAGAACGTCGAGAGAAGCGTGATTTGAGAGCATTTTTCGGGGGTCTAATTGAGTCATAGAGTGAAGGGTCATGACCTAAAGCTGTATGGAAGAGATGGTGTCATTTTAGTTCAAGTTGCAGCTCTATTCGCCTTCCGAATCTCACTTTTCAAGGCCACCACGACGTGGTGTCGCAGTTTTAAAAACCACAAAGTGTTCTGTTTGGTTTACCACGATGTGGTGATATCCACCACGACGTGGTGCTTTTCGAGTCATTTCCCGAGCCTGATCTCATACATCCAGTAGTCTCCATGATTCAAGTGGCGTTATATTTGTTATCATGGTATGGATGAGCTGTTCCCATGCCTAGAATTTCCTTATCACGTTTCGTTGAAGAATTATCCCGGCTGCCACGACATTGTTTACACTTTCCTTTGACGTGGGGGAGTTTTTCAACAATTTAGGAGGCTGCCTTTTTCTTGTCCGCTTTCGAGTCCATATGATCCAAAAAGTTTGAAGTTTCTTTCCATGAGTCGAGTGCATCTTCTATCCCAGGGGAGTTTGTTCCTTTTTCTCCCTCTTTTTAATTTTATGTTTTGCATACCATGCAATGAGGGCATTGCATGAAATAAGTGTGGGGTAGGGGGTTGATTATATTAGTTGAATTAGTATCTTAATTTTAGGCATAATATAGAAAATTTTGCAAAAAATTGCTAGGATTTAATTTAGAAAATTATGGTAAAAAGTAATTAGGATTCATGCTAGTATTGCATTTGATGATTCTATGAGGACCCAAATGTTTAGTCAAGCCTATACATGTTCTAGTGCGTTTGTGGCCTCCCTATTCTAGTGAAATCATGGGACAAAAACACAACATCGCTTAGTTTGAGGGATGCAATATGTTTAGCAGCCTAAACCTGAAATGTATCCAGGAAAGCTTAAGTAGTCATTGCACATTAGACTAATATCTTAACCAATAAAGGTTGAACTGGAACGCCCTTGCTTAAGCATGTAGGTTTTCAAAGAGAGAAAAATAAAAGTGAGGTACATGTAAAAAAAATTGAAAAAAAAAAGAGAGAGAATTACAAGAAAATTTGTAAGAATTTTGGAGCGTTCAAGTCAAATTATGAAGATCAAAGATCAAAATTCTGAAGAAATTCAAAAGTTGAAGATACCAAAAATCAAATCAAAGAAGATGGTGAATTCAAAGAAATCAAATATCAAATATTCAAAGAGTTGAAGAATTCCTAAAGAGCTCCAATGTGGTATAAAAATTTGTAGTTTTCTAGAATATGTATGATTGGGTTGCTTGACCAAAAATACCTTGAGGGTAAGAAAGTTTTCTGAGGATGGATTCGGAGGGTTGCATAAAATGACCATTGTTCAAAAGAAGTGGGCTAGTGTTTATGAGGATTGTGAGTATTTAGGATTGGGGGGTCCTTAGGAAAAATTTTAGACACAAATGCATGCGTTGCGGTCTTGGCATAATGGCTGGGTTCGATTAGGACTGTTTGATGTGATGTTGGTATGATAAAATTCAGTTTTGCTTGGCGGCAAGCAAAAGTCTAGTGTGGGTTATTTTGACATGTGCATATTTATACACATATTTATAGAACATACATTATTATTTAATTACTTTTATGCCCTTAATAGAACAAAAGATACTTAATTTTCTATGAATTGTGTTGTAGGGACTAAAAGACTTGTTGGAGCAAAAAGGAAGTTGGAAGTTGGATTAAGGAAGCTAAAAGATGGAAGATTGAACCAAAGCAGTAAAATGAAGAAAAATACACCCAACACGTCGTGGTGATCCTACCACGACGTGGCGTCTTGAAGATTCCCGATCAGATTTGATGACTTGGAGATTACGGGATAAGCACAATCACCACGACGTGGTGGACCCACCACGACGTGGTGCCCTGCTTTCGGAAAAAGTATAAATATCTTACATAAACCTCCGAATGGGAACTTTTGGCTCTGGAGAATTCGAAGCTTTTTGAGGCAAAGGCACTGGAATTAAGCATTGGAAGCAAGGAATTCAATCACAATCATTAGAAGGAGGAGATCAAAGGCAACTAAACTCTACTTTTCGATTTTTCATTAGGAATAGCTATGCCTTTACTTTTGAATCTCGATTTTATTACTTTATTTGCTGAAATCATGAGCTAAACACTCATGACTTTCGTTTAGCTAGGATGAGTTAACTAAACACGGTTGATTTCATAGTTAGGATTTAGTTATTTGGTTATTTGTTGACTTTTGCTTATTAAAGAACCTCAAGTACTTTTGATAACTGCTTTTTATCTGCTTATTGCTGAATTTGATTAGGTTAGAATGACTATTTTTCTTAATTGAATTTGAATCTTATGATCTTGTGATTTGCAAAATCGTAGGACTAGAGTTTTGATTAAAACCTAGGGTTAAGTAGAAAAGTGGGTAAAAATGTATAGGAGCCAATATATGACGATAAATCATATATAGAATTGAATCAACAAATTTAATTGATCAATTAATTATAAGTCTAAGCAACTCGAACTAAACACTAGTGAACTTGTAAGTTTGTCCGCTTGATCATCGAATAAATAAGCTAGTTTGCTAAAGGATTAAATTGGTGAATACCAATTTGGTCATCTTAGGAATCGGTAGCCAAAGAAACAAAATCCATTGCACTTCTATGAAACAACCATAATAATAAGAAATCCGAAGCTGAACGAAAGTCTCTTTCTCACCTTGGTAATTCATACTTGTTACTTGCTTAGTTTTAGTTCTAGTTTTATTAAGTAAATTTTTGAGTTAGTTTAGTAAATCAAGTATCTAGTCTTGCAAAACTAGGAAAACAACCCCTCTTTGAATTTAATTATTAATTAGTCAATAGGAAAATAAAGCAATCTAAACACCGTTCCTTGTGTTCGACACTCATTCTTACCATTGCTATACTATTGCACGATTAGGTACACTGCCTAGTGTGTTTAATAGTCTATTAAAGTAAATTACTTTTATAAATTAACTTGAATAAAATATAAGCATATTAAATTACACATCAAGGATCCTAAATACCTAGGAAAATATAGCAAAACCTATTAAACTTCCTTCGAACCAGAGAAAGACGTTCGCATGGAAACACAAAGATATAACAGGTATAGACAAGAGTATTATCACTCACAAACTTAATATTGATCCCTCTTTCAGACCGATACATCAAAAGAGAAGGAAGTTTTCACCCGAAAGGAATCAGATCATCGAAGAAAAAGTGGAAAAAACTCCTCCAGACAGGGATGATCAAGGAAGTGAAGTTCCTGAGATGGCTAGCTAATGTAGTTGTCGTACAAAAGAAGAACGCCAAGTGGTGAGTACGTGTAAACTACATGGATCTTAAGAAGGCTTGTCCTAAGGATCCTTTCCATCTACCACACATTGACTCCATGATAGATGCAACAGCTGGCCACGAACTCTTAACCTTCAAGAATGCTTCAGCAGGATTCCAACAAATCCAGATGAAACCATCCGATCAAGAAGATACAACATTTATAACACCAATAGGTATATATTGTTACACTGCAATGCCTTTCGTCTTAAAAATGCATGTGCAACATATCAAAGACTGGTGAATGGGATGTTTAAAGAAAAGCTGGGGGACACCATGGAGGTCTACATTAACGATATGGTGGTGAAGTCCATGAAAGCTGAAGATCATCTCAGGGATCTCAAAGAAGCCTTCGACATTCTAAATGAATACAACATGAAGTTGATCCATATAAATGCCACTTTGGGATTACGTCGGACAAGTTCCTTGGGTATATGGTAACCAAGAGAGGAATAGAAGCAAGCCCGGAGCATTTCAAAGCAATCATTGAGCTGAAATCTCCAACTTCAACAGAAGACATCCAAAGACTAACTGGAAGAGTAGCAGCACTCAACAGGTTCATTTCAAGCTCCTCAGAAAGGTGTAAGCCCTTCTATGATATCTTGAAGAAGAACAAGAAGTTTGAATGAACCGAAGAACACAAAGAAGCTTTTCAGGAACTCACAATATACTTAAGTTCCGCGCCACTGCTGGTGAAGCCTATAGATGGAGAACCAC